CCACGTAAACATGAATTTCTTACATTATTATTCATGCAGTATGTACACCATTGGGTTTTATATAAGCGGATGCTTGGTTGTCTGTGCTTGTAGGCTACATGAAAAGCCTGAGTGTGAGTGTGATGTGAAAATATTTTACAAATATATGGCATATAATGTTGGTTTAGGTAAAATATACCATATAATATTTAAATATAATGTCAAAATCTCATGTAAACACTGAATTATTACATTATTATTCATGCAGTGTACACTTTTGGGTTTTATACAAGCGTTTGATTGGATGTCTGTGATTGTACATGTGAAGCCTGTGTGGGAGTGTGATGTGAAAATATATCACAAAGTATAGCATATAATGTTGGTTTAGGCAAAATATAGCATATAATATTTTAATATAATGTCAATATATCACATAAACATGGATTTCTTCCATTATTATTCATACAGTATGTACACCTTTGGGTTTTATATAAGCAGATGCTTGGTTGTCTGTGGTTGTGCATGTGAAGTCTGTGTGTGAGTGTGATGTGAACTCAAAACGCATGACGCTTGTGAAGATCTGGATCTTTGTAGCTATAGTGACTGTTCTGTATGTGTGTATATATGCTGTTTGTGCATAAGCGGGGTTGTATGATCATGTGTTGAATGACTGCGCTATATCTGATCTTTCCTCGCACGTACACACACATAGAAAACTTCTTTCTTCTGCCCCAGTTCTGTCATGCTGCCTGTGAAGTTCCTGCACATCGATGGGGGAAAAGGAAAAGAAACTATTCTGATGGTGTCAACTGGCCCCATTTTACAGCGTTTAGCACAGTGCCTGTGAAACCTGTTTCCCCACCACTCCGTACGGCACAAGAGTGGCATTTCATTTGAACTGAGAATCGCGAGTTTTAATTAATTAAAAAGCACAATGCTTATCTTATCAGCTGATGGTTTTCTTTTTGATTACGGGCCGGTGAGTGGGAAGACTGATTCTCAAGAGGAACAGGTCCCAAACTGCAAGCAGACTGATGCTTATCGCTCTGTTTGCGAGCCAGGAGAGAGCATCTGCCTTCAAGCAGTGCCGGCCCTCAGGTTAAGGGCTTTAGACACCAACAACCCTCCAAATTCCTCCTGTGGTTCTTCTTATCGCCAACAAATACAATCTTGCAGAGATAAAAAGCATTTGTTTAGAGCCTGTGTTTATCAAAAGCTGCCATACTTTGGGATGGACTCTTGAGATTAAAAATATTTAGCTTCTATTCTATTCAAAAACAAAGAAATGACCATGAAAGGTGTGTAGTGGTTGTGTTTATTAACTAACAAGATATAAACTAGGTTTCCCATTTAAAAGCAACATTGCTAAGGTTTCCAAGACCTTACTGGGGTTGCTAGGGTGTTTGGTGGTTGCTAAATGGTAAGCTAAGTCTTTCAGAAAATCAAGGTCAAGTTTGTTTTGTTTTTTCCAACTTTTGATACTTTTATTATATAAATTTATATAATCTATGCATGCACGAACGTAAAACGACCAATTTAATCTAAAGCTTACACACATAAATAAATAGACCTTTAACTTATAAATAATATCGTATGTGATAACTTATACATAAATACATGTGACCAATTTTAACCACTTTAATACATTTGACCAATTTAAACTGTCAAAATAATGTGTATCATTTATAATGTTAATGTATGCTTTTCTAGATATACATTTTTAAGCATTTAATATTTATTACATAATAACATTCGATTATTAAGTATATATCCAACATATGTCTGTTTGCTTTTAATAATGTTTAATATTGTTAAATGTTTCCTCTGAACTTTAATGAAAAAGTGCAGAATCTTATTGGTTCTTGATAAAATTTTCTGACTATTCTGGTTTCTGAAGGTAAATAATTATCGTTCAAGGTTTCTTTAGATAAAGGGTGCCCAAACTTTTTCCTATAAAAAGCCAAAAAGCACACTAGATTAGCTACAGTAGGTGAGAGTTCAATGTGGCTATTACCGCCGTGGCATATACCGCTGCCACTTTAAATTGGCAAGAACGTGTTTTTTATGACCTCAGTTTGTGAATATGCTGGAAGGGGGCACAAAGGGACGGGATGCGAACGGACAGAAATAGCCTATACAGCAGCTGTAAATATGCCACTGTACTTATAAATAAAGATGAAACGATAAAACAAAGCATTATAATTCATTCATTAATCATTAAAATTTGTTAAAACGCTTTATTATCACTGTAAATTTGATAAGTGCAATAAGGATTCATTTTGGAAAGTAGAATTGAAGAAATAAAAGACAACTAAAGTGAAAGCACAAACATTCAGAACAAATAAGAAGGCCTAAATAAGTAAAAATAAATCAATAAAGCTGTCTTTTAGTCTAAATATAGATTTATTTTGATAGGACTACGGTCATTAAATAAGCTTTTTCATTTATGTTTTCATTTACGTTTTATTTACATTTTCATTGTTGATTATATTTTACTATTTCATTTTATGTCTGAATTATTGTACATAATAATAAACAAATAATGAAATATAAATTAACAATGAAAATAGGCCTTAATAATTATTTATTTAAAGACATTGCAGCGAAACACTGAGAAACGGTCCGGTGCATGGTCTAAAGAGCTTAAGTTGAATGCTGCTTCATCAAAAGCATAAAAATAAATTGACCTACCTCAAGCAGATCAGTAAAAGTGTAATAAAAACTATTTTGCCGCAGGACAAAAATTAAGTCTTGCAAGTGTATTTTTATTAATTTAGTTTCAGTTCAGTTTTTTTTGAAATGTCAAATGTTCTCCTTGAAAGTATTTTATGTTAATAAATTATGTTACGGTCCCTAACTTAAATAAGACTCGTGACCAAAAGACAACGTAACATAATAAACAACGGCCAAAGTTCTCCAGCTAAATTATTTATTAATATAACATAACCAACAAAACAATTCAAATTGACAAGAGATGGGGAGCCCAACAACAAAATAAAGAACAACCAAACAAACCTAAAGCAGGTTGGAGCTCCCCACTCCAAACAAATATCAAAAGGAAAGCATAAAGGAGAACACAACAATAAAGCCGTCAAAGACTGTGGTGACGTGGAGGAATGAGGACGTGGAGGAAAAGTAATTGTTGTTTTGATTTGTTTTTTACTTGTAGTAATGGCTCAGTATCTTTTGTACTTGAATTTTAATTTCAGTCACCTTGCATGTGAAATATAATGTGCGCATAACCGCGTAAAAAGAAGAAAAAGCTGTCTGTCAAAAGTTAGAGCTAATTCATCAAAATTAGCAATATTAAAATACAGCATGTATCTTAATGCAGGCAGAGTGTGAACAAACTCAGGGTAAGGCTAAGATATGCGCTTGCCTTTTAATGCATTTAAAAAGATTTGCTGTGAACCAAGAAGTTTTAGCCAAAGTTTTTTCTGATTCGCTTAGATTAAAGCATTTATTATTTAGCTTCGTTTTCTCTCTGTATTGTGGCTGTGCGTGCACTGTCAGCTAAATGCATTTCTAAAATAAATCTTAAAAGCAACTAGGCTGCGCGCTTATTTTTGTCCTTCAAATATAATATATCTACAGAGGTTATAAAAAATGATACAGAGTTAAACAATACAGTTTGAAAAGGGTTTTAAAACCATAGAGCAATATCTGGCAGAGAAGGGATTTTATTTTACTTTATTTTATTTATTAAAGTTATTATTTCTGTGACTTGAATATAACCATGTATGAGATAATTACTAACCTGTCGTCTGAAATATTAAAATAATAAAATATCCTATTATTTTATTCTTGGCTAGAGGTTGATTAATTTGACTGATGTCCTAGGTGATTAGACCTTTACTTCTCTTGACTGAGCATGAGTTTATTGCATGCAGTGCTGGATTTTGGTACCACAAAAACTCGCTCTGATCTGATCTTTACCAACAGCATCACATCACATAAGGTACACATACAGAACCGTCTATTTAGTATTGTGAAAATGCAAAGCTGAAAATCTGTGGCTAAAGCGCCACCCAGCGGTCAAAAGCTGATGGCGCACCAACTACCGCTGCCCACGCAGTATGAACGGCGGCAAAAGAAAGAAATTGAAGTAGTGACATCTGTATGGGCTGAATATGTACCAAATCGTATATATTAAATTTGCCTTGGGTAATTTTCTAATTTATTCAGTAATGTTTAAAAATAACTAGAAAATTATTTATAAATTACAAATAATATAATTATAATTATAGTTAGAAATAAAAAAGTATTAAATCATATTGACTAACGCAGTATCATTTTTATATGTTGTATTGAAATGACACAAGTTCAATGCTGCATACACAAGTCAAGCTTATACTCATTTGCTCACAGATGTCTGCAGATGTCTGCAGTTTGCTGACAGTATTTACATTTTAAAGTCTGATTCCTTTACAATATTTAATTGAATCGTTTAATCTCAGTTGCCTTTTTGTAGCTCAGTAATAAAACAAAGAAACAAAGGTTTACGTTAAATTCGAAATGATGATCTCTGTCAAGGGCATTCGCCCCAATCACCTTCCCATCATTCTCCCTCTCTTTTTTGATGGGATGGCAGGCCAAATCAAAGGTTGGCATGGGCCAACTTTGTCCTGTGGGCTCTACTTTGGGCTTCTCTGCTTTAGATCATCAAAAACCCAAAACCCTTTAAGTACAACCAATCTTTTTGTCAAACTTCTCTACCATCAATAAAAAAGATCGAATCAAGTAGTTCTTACCCAGAGAAACATACACACTCAGGCATTCACAATTGTAAACTCCTACCACCTCTTCAAACCCACTGTATCAGAGGAAATAACAGAATAATGGAAACCATTTTCCCTGTAACATTTCCTGGAAGGGCATTTATTTCACTTTAACCTCTGTGAGTTAGAGATGTTCGCGGTAATGGTGCACGTCTGGCAGTGTACAATGTATAAGTCAGATTTCATAGCATACTGTAAAACACAAGTGTGAAACTCTTTCTCATATTCTCTCTTTTTCCACAGGGAGTTCGGCTGGAGAGATCCTGAATTACCTGAAGTCATTCAGATGCTGCAGCACCAGTTTCCCTCAGTTCAATCCAATGCGGCAGCATATTTGCAACATCTATGCTTCGGAGACAACAAGATTAAAGCTGAGGTAAATACAACATTATATATGGCTGGTCTCGCACTTGCTGTTAAAGGGGGAGTTTGGCCAAAAACAAAAAAAAAAAAGAAATCTGGTTTTTGCTTGGATTGTTTACAGAGACTGTGAATTTAATGTTATAATGTTGTAAATAATGCTCAAAATCTTGCACAGATTGACTCTTTGCTTTATAAGATTATGAGACCTCAGTGTATCAGCAGGACCAAATAATATTAGGATTGTTTTACACACACAAAAAAAGATTATTTACTTACCGTTAAAAAATAAGTAAACACATTGATTAATTTTTATTATTATGCACAGTTATAAAAGTGAATAGTTAATTCATAATTGCACAAGTAAATAATTGGCCACACTTTGTTTTAATGTAGATTTCACACTATTAACAACCTATTAACTACAAGTTAGACTTTTATATTTGATCAATAAACTAATAATTAGTTGCTTATTAATAGTTAGTAAAGTAGTAGTTGGGTTAAGGTATTGGGTAGGATTAGGGATGTAAACAAAAATCACACTTTATAAGTGCTAAAAAACTAATGATATCCTAAAAGCAGGTAATAAGACAGTAATAAGTTTGAATAGTTATATAAAATAAAGTGTGACCAAATAATTGTTCACACTTTATTTTAATCAATGGGTTTAATCCTTTTTTTTCAAATAAAGTCAAATATTCTCATTTTACATTTGAGTATATATTTTTAAATCCTTAATTGCAGTTACAAGTTGTATTAGTCTATTAGCTGCACAGATTTGACAAATCACAACAGAACACAGTTTCAGCTAGATTTTTTAATTTAAAGGTTCAAGAACCCCCCACACCCCCCACGAGTACTTTTTAGAGATTTTACCAGATTTATGTGTGATTAGCATCAGTTAAGGCAACATTAGCACATGTCAGCTTTATTTGTGGGGAACACTAGATCATTTTGTCAGTATTTAACCATCAAGGGTCGTATGTGTTTGTTTTCATGATCCACAAGGTTTGTTGCATGTTTTTTCCTACAACACTTTCAGGGTTGATACAGCAAAACTGTTGGTTTGCAGCAAGCATTTTTGTCAGGAGAGCTGTACGAGAATTGGTGAATGACGGACTTTTGTCTTTTATCCATTGAGTTTGTTACCATTCAGACACATCACCTATCCATGCACATGTTTAAAATTCGTCGGATTATCGGCAGGATTGATGGTTGAAATACATAGGGCAAGAGACCTTCTGCACTGCTCCATTGTGTTTGCATTTAGACCCGGGGATTGAGGAGGGAAGTCCTCCTCATTCTCAGGGCATTAAATTACTTACTGTTTATTTCTTTGCTTTTTAACTTTGTAAAATATAATATCATGGGTCTCTTCATGGTTTGTGTCTCATTTTGTTTGCTCCCCTCTTATACCCTTGCTCTGGCAGCCATGCCCACTCCTCCCTCAGCTTACGGCACTTAGCGCCCATCATGAAGCATTTTTGAAAAAATTTTGAGGTATACTTAAACTGAAAGAGGGGTTTCATGGCTCTTTAATGCCGAAGAAGAAACAATCATGGACTGTATAAAAGTGAGTACATTAATGGTAAATCTTTTCTTTAATCATCAGTACTTGTACTTGCTCATAAATGTACATTTGTTGATGATGCAAAGCACAATTTGTACAAAAAGGCTTAAATTTTGTTTGGAATTGTTGGAAACATTTTCAACAAAGTCCACATGAAAACAAAATTTATAATGTTTATTTTTTAACACGCACTGTTAGTCTTAAGGTGAGCCATTTATATGTCCAATTTAATTCCATGAAAATAAACTTATTGTTTTGATAATATTAAATCTCTAATTATAATCTGCTCTGGAATGGTCCTTCTCTAATGATATCAGTTTGACGACTTGAGTGGAACATGCTTGCCATGCCCCTTTATCCATTACAGTTTGCTTTAAATAAAAGATGAGAGGTGGAACACAAAAATAAAATCCCGCCCTGTACTCATTTTTTAGTATCAGTTATGAATACATAATCATGCTGAAGTAAAAGTCTGTCGCAGCATCCAGTTCACACAAACATTAAAGAAAATTAATGCAATGTATTTTCAGGAGACATAGGTACTTTATGCAACACAGGCTTATTGTGAAAATCTACCCCAGCATGCATTTCTGGGAAGAGCGAAACATGTAGCCAGAGCTAGTATGGCTGCATTTTGTCTTTAACAATATGGGGTGGTATAACACCTCCTAAGGCTTCTGTTTCTTTTCCTGCATCAGCTAACCGCTTACCTCCATATGGACAACTTTTCCTGCTAGCAGCTAACCGCTTACATCCATGTGGATGGCTTTTACGTGGTAAGCAGTTTGCAGAGAAGAGTTGACCGCGATGACTGGTTTCAAGTCAACCAAAAAAGTGTATCCGAAAGCAGGTACAAGAAAAGGCAAAAAAATAAAATAAACAAGCAGGGCGAGAATGTTATAAAATGATTATAAGATTATAAAATGTAAAAATCAGGTGGCCTCGAGGGCTTTTTTTGTTTAGGATTTGAGATCGGTTAGGTGTAGTGAAGGGGGTGGGTGGGGAGATCAGTCAGTTGTCCAGTCAGTCAGTAAATCAGTCAGTCGACAGCATCCACTGGTGGATTTACAAGAGAAGAGCAAAAATTTGAGATCTGAAGCAGCCTCTGATGGATTCGCGAAAACAAAAACTGCAAAAACCATATCTCCTAGGATGTATTTCTTGCTCTCCAGAAGTGTATACAGGGATACGATTTAATAATGAGCCTGGGTTGACTTTATAAATCATGACAGTTTATCTGAATTATCTTCTTTAATGTTCAACTGAAGAAAAAATTTGTTAATAGCCTGACGGTGCATAAATTAACAACAAATTTTATTTTGGGGTGAATAATCCTTTTAATGATCAGTACATGTAGTTGCTTACTGAAGCACATTTGTGGACGATGCAAAGTGAAATCTGTTCGGAAAGCATTTTTCTAAAAGGTAATTAGGCTTGGAAGAGTCTACCATCTGCCATGGGATCTTAATGTTGGACTTTTCCATTTTCTGGTGGAAAAAAAATGGGATATTAAAAGTGTACGTTCCCTTGGGGAATAGTCTTGTTGTGAAATACTTACCCTAAAGATTTTTATTTTTAACTGTTGTTGCACGCAGTTAATTCCTGCATGTACAGTCGACAAATAATTCACCCCTTTATTGAAATTTGATGGCAGGTCTCTGATGGTACATTCCCAAGCAGTGAGTTTTTCGAATTATAAAGAGCGCCTTGGATTGCACCAGTAATTAAGCACTAATAGCACAGCCAAACAATGCACGGAAAGCTGCGTATTGACAGCCATTCTCCACACAGCAGCTCTATAATTGTATCCCAGAGGCTTAAGACAGACTTGGAGGATGAGGAAATTAAATTTGGAGAATAAATCTGCAGGAACAACACAGCAACAGAGGGCGAGACGAGCTAGCCGACAAACTTTTAAATGATATTTAATGAAAAAAAACACAAACAGTAAGAGCCAAATTAGTTTATCCAGCATGTGCTCCATGTGCTCAGATTTTTATGCATCCGAAAAATGTCTTATTTACTGAAAAAAGACGCTGAATGAATCCTTCTGTTTTCTTTTATCCACCTCTTTATCAGTTTCCCCACACTCTGAAATGAACTTGCTTTTATGTTGACCTCATAAAGAGATATGTTGGATCTTAGCTTGATTGATTAGATTTGGTTCTATATATTCCACTGCTTTATGTTGTGCATGCTTTTAAAATGAACATTTCAACCTGTTTTCTAGTTACAAATGATTAAAAGTTGCATCTGTAAAAGAAACTAACTATTGTTCCAAAATCATAATGAGAGGCATTATGAAAATATGTTTTAAGATCTTAAAAGTATACTTTTTTATGGTTTAAATTTTTTTGTTATTAATTTTAAGAGTATTGTGACTGAATGTTTATTTATTTTACATTAATATTATATATTAACCACATAATACAATTATTGTACATAAATTAGTTATTTATTCAGTTATATACATGATTTAATATGAATAATTTAATGAAAATTAAATAAAACATTTCGTTATAATAATAATAATAATAATAAATACTCTCTTTTATATTCTATGAATTAAAGTTTGATTAGACTAAACAAGAAATGTGACATTACAAAAATGTATTTATTTTGCACTTCATTAAGCATTTAGCATTGTTTTTCCTCCCTCCAGTCCATGACCCAATCATTGATGCGTTTCCCAAACAAAAAAACATAACTCACGACTGGACTACCATAGTACGATGCATCATTTGGGAAAAGAACAATGTAATGACAAATTTTTCCCAAAATCATAGTTGCTTTGTTGTAGATCCATCGTTTGAACCACGTTAGTTATAACTTAAAACGTCTTTAATGATGCTCCAAGCAGTGTGGAGTAACTATTTCTTTAAAGAAAAAAAAAAATTATGCTAGTTATATTTTTAAAATAAATGAATGAATATATTGATTTACATGCACACATTAAAAAAAAATCTAATATTAGGTTAGTTTTGGTTTAAACATGTACTTTTTTCCATATTATTTGAAATATATGTAAACAGCACAAATGTTTCACTATGTTTCCTTTACAAATATTATAAATATTGCATATTCTATTCTAAAACATGAAACACAAATTCTAGTCTCATATATAAATCATATAAATCATTAATGATAGCAGCTTACAGTAGGCTATTTAGTGAGAAATAAAAAATAAAAAAAATTCTACATAATAATAATAATTATTTTTATTATTATTACTATTAGTAGTAGTAGTAGTAGTAGTAATAGTATTATTAATAATTATTGTTATTATTATTATTAGTAGTAGTAGTAGTTATATTTTTAATTATGATTTTTATTATAACATTAGTATTAATTTGTTAGGGCGAAGCAGTGGTGCAGTAGGTAGTGCTGTCGCCTCACAGCAAGAAGGTCACTGGGTCGCTGGTTCGAACCTTGGCTCAGTTGACGTT